GTGAACTCTCTAAAAGGCAGGCTGGAGATCCTTTTAAGTGATGTGAGCAGAGAAGCTCTTAAAATGGGGCTAATTAGCTGTTTGATGTACTTGACAGAGAAAGATGTATGCAAGCAGAGAGGAAAGACTGCAAACATAGATATCCCTGATTGCATTATTGTCCAAAACTTTAATTAATTTCTTGAGGACTATCTTTTCCATAATTTAAAATGGTTTAAAAGATGTACAACTAACAGGTTCAAAGTGTTTCTTTAGCTAATCACTTGCACTGCAGGAGGCTGAAAATTATAGAGCACATTTTACATACTCCTCAAGCCATCCAAGAATTACTTTTGTAGGCTCTGGCTTTTGCTCTTCCTCTGTTTGCATAATGGCATTGAGAAATGTGTGACTTGACTCCCCTAATATGATGTTCAAGTCCAAACAGCCACCACTGCTCTCTTTCAGGACACAGAGGTATAAATGTCTTTTGCCATGAAAATGTTTTCTTGGCTCATATGTGTTGAAAGAGATGAAAATCAGGTCCTGGTTATAAACAGAGTTAAGAGATAAACTCAGAGTTTAAAATAAAAAATGTAATCCTATACTATGTGTTACTATAAAATATAGTCCATAAAGAAAAAAAAATGAACACCAATAAGGGACAACTTTTTTAAATAAAAATTTTAATTGCAGGTTCTCCACATTCAGTAATCAAAACATAAACATGTAAACATGCAACTAACTATGAAGTTCTTTATATTTATTGTTCAATCATAATTTATAAGCATTGCCAATTTTGCTTATGTTCTCTTGGCAGTTTTTTTTTCAATTTCATGTCATTTTATTAGAAGTCATTACTATAAAATCATTCTACTAGTATATTTTGGGAAATGGCAAACAATAATCATTGGTAAAATGAAAAACAAAAATCTAAGAAATAATCACTGGGATATGTGATAATAATGACCTTAATATCTTCCTCACAGAAACTATAATGTCATCTGAGATAGTTATCCAAGTTTAGTAAGTTTAGTGAGTAGTCAAGAAATTTTATTGAAAGGAACTTTTATCAGAAATATCCAAACTTTTTGCCAAAGGCATGGATGTCATATAGTTTGTGCTTGCCAATCTCTATACCATTTTTGTATACAAGCATTCATGGGAAAATTTACTAATTCATCCAACAGATATTTATTGAGGATACACTCGGTGTCTTATTTACAAGGAATACAACAGAAAAGTAAACTCAAGAAAACTTCCTTCATGTATCTCTCATGATAGTTGGGGTGTAAATAAACAATATAAATCACCAATCTAAATATTGCATCAGAAGGTAATTTGATAAGTGGAAGACAAAGAGCAGGGTGATCATTGTGGGCTATGACCCACTGGAATTTAAGAGAAAGATGGCAGGCCTTGACCAAGGAGTAACAGGATCAGATCAGCATTTTAAGACTCATTCTTACTGCTGGGGTAAAATTATTCTAAATGTACAAGGGTGGAAATAAGAAGATCACTTAAAAGACTACGTTATAGTGATCCCAGCAAGGGAAGATGGTGATTTAGGCCACCATTCAATTGGAGTGGGGAGAAAAAGAAGGGAACAAATGGCTATGATCCATGGGGGCTGGGTATGGGCAGGAAGATGAGGCTTTCCTTCTGTGCCTTTGATCTTGCCCTTTATCATCTCCTTCTGGACTGGGTTCCATCAATTATCCCAGGCTATCAATCTCTCCCATTCTCCCACCTTCTTTCCTAAACAGACACAAACTTTCTCATTTGAAAAAACAATGCAGTGCTGGGGTTGTGGCTCAGTGGTAGAGTGCTCGCCTGGCACGTGTGTGTCCCTGGGATCCATCCTCAGCACCACATAAAAATAAATAAATAAAGGTATTGTGTCCAACTACAACTAAAAAATACATTAAAAATACATTAAAAAGAGCATTAAAAAAGAGAGAATACATATTTTTCCCCCTTTGGCCTTTGTAAATGTCAGGGAAGAGGTTATGTTTGAGTTGAGAATTAGAGAATGAGTTAGAGTTTAGTAGGCAGACAAACAAGAAAAATCCATACTAAGATAATCACAGCAAGTACTATGCACCCCAGCTTGAAAAGGCAGATATTCAGAGAGCTGTGAGTAGCTTTAATTTGCCACTACTGGACTATCCTGGGACAGGAAGAGGTAGGCAGTTGGAGATGAAGGTGCCACGCATCATTCATAAACACTGCTCTCCAGAGTTTGATGTTTATGACTATGTATTAGTGTGTTGGGGTGGAGAGAGCAGCAAACAGCTCACACTGGTGGAAAAGGTGGAAAATGTTGCCCTGAGAATCTCATCCCATCAGAGCAGAGGAGGATGAGAGTGGCCCCATCAGGTCCCTGGATATGCAATAGCAGCAGGCTTTTCTTAGAGGGGATGCTGTCAATAACACAAGTATTTCAAGCATGGCTTGGTGTCTAAATTTAAACAATTCTACAAAGAAGAAGAGGCACTTGACTGCTTTCAGGGTTCAGTCTTGTGATCAAAGAAAGCAATTCTCCCTAATAAAAGTGATATTTTCTTAGGGTATCCTAGGCCCTAACACAAGGAGATTTTCAAGGGACCCAAGGAGATATATAAAGAGATATTTTTAAAGAAGACTGGATCTATATTTTAGAAAGATGCTTCTGGAAGTAAGGTGGATTAGATAGGATGAAGCTAGTTACATTGAGAACTAGACAGGGGCTATTGCAATACTTCAGACAAACATGATGGAGACTTAAAAATGCAACAGGCCAACCCATGGCCATCCATCAGTATAATATACAAGTGTTGGTTATAAGCAAGGAGACATTTGGAAATAAATTTTGGAGAGGAAAACCTAACAATGGGAAATCCTGCTAGCATCCAACTTCCTTAATAGTAAGAGGCTGAGTACATTAAAGTAGCAATTTATTTGATGGGCAATTGATATCTGGCAGGCTAGTGACAGCCTTGTTGCCAAGAGAGCACGGTTCCAGTCTCAGCCTGTGACTTTAAAAACTTCACTGGGGGAAAAATTACAGTCAAGCCAGCAGCAGCAGGCCATGGCCTACGGCACAATATGCCGATAACTAAGTCCCAGGGAAAACTGATTTGTAGCTTCTGATCACATGCGCTGAGAGCCGCTGCTATTGACTAGTTGTGGTTCATCGGGATGTAGATCTATCTTGGCTAACAAGAAAGCACTAGAGGTCTTCATTTAGCCACTGAGCCCTGTCTCCGGGGACTGTGTGCAGCTGTCTTTACCTTCCTACCAATCAACACATCAAAAGCTGCAGAATATATTTTCACTTTCAAAAATGCAAACTGCAAGCAAGATAAAGTTGCCAAACTAGACTTGAAAAGGGGTGAATGATTACAGCACGGCTCCAGATATAAAGAATAAATCATGTGTGCCCAGTTGGAATTTTCTTATACGTGTCAACAAGAAAGATAACTGAGTCTGTATCCGCAAGACAGCCACACCATATTAATTTGACTAGAAAGGATTAAAACCATTTACATTGGATTTCTTACTTGAATAATTCTAAGCAGCACATCTCCTCAGAATTTCTCACTGAAGATAACTGGTTATAATGAAATTATTAGAATATTCATTTTAGTAACCCTCAAATAATTACTTGGCAGAGGGTTTTGTGTTTTTTTTTTTCTTTCCACTCCATCTGTATAAAGGCAAGAATACATTTTATTTTTTCATTTAATTTGGGCACGTTTTTCCTTTCCTGGGAGTTTGGGCCTTTGCTAGAAATAAACTCCAAATCTTTAAATGTTTTCTCAAATTATCAGTTCTTTTGACATTGATTTCAATATCATCAAGACCTTTCCTCCCAGATGTTTTCCAGGAAGACTTAACTCACAAAAGGTCAACGTTGTTTCCCTGCTTTCAAGGATCATTTAGTTTCCACACTCTTGGTTTGGGATGTGTGCAGGTGCATGAAAAAGAGAGAAGGTTACCCTTTGGTAAGCTCTATTTAATTCTCTAAAATGAGTGAAAGGTCATGCTGGGGAACCAGGCTCCCGATGCATTTTAAGTAAAAGCCAGTTGCTTTAGCTTGAAATTCCAGGTGGCCCAGTAAGGACTGGAATGCACAGTTTGGACTGCTTCCCTTTCAGTCACCTCTTAAGGGAGATGCCACTTTGATTTACTGGACTGACAGTGGCTTCTCCTGAGCTGCAGGCAGGGCAGGTGCTGGACTGCCACATCAGTGAATGCCTCACCACGGGCTGTCAGTTCCCCAGCTGGGAGGCATTCCACTCTGCCTCCCAAACTGTCTTAGAGGCAGCTCCTCACAGCATTGCTTCCTGGCTCCAGGGAAACATTACTATTACTTCACTATTTCTGATATTGCCAAATTGACGGTTCATGAAACCACAGTGTGCCCCAAATTCACTTTCATTGTTCCCCGAATGTAAAAAATAAGCATTAAAAACTGATTTCATTAGACATTGTTGAGTGATGCAAGGACAATTTTAAAAAATTGTAATAGAACTAAAGTCATATGTAGATTCAACATACAAACATCAGACCTGCATTTTAATTCAAACAGCTTGTAAATTTCTTCATGTAGATTTCTAAATAAACTCTGGGTCTCATTTAATCTCCTTTATGAAAAAAAATCAAAGTTAATAGCTTTTCAAGTCCATTCATTCCACAGAGGTTCCAAAAAAGCTTAAAAGAATGTCTATCTCCACTGAAAGACCAGACAACACATAAACTAAACTTGCAAGACATGCCATTTTACATACCTTTGTAACATCCGGATTAGACTATGACAGTGCCTACCTCCTGGGGCAATTCTTACAGACCACCCAGGAAACCCAGCCACTGCAGAATGCAGCCAGTCTATTGATTTAAGAATGAAGAACACTGCAATTGTGTCTATGTTATAACATCAACCTGTTTACTTAGAGCACAATTAAAACCTGAAAAATAAAATTTAATAAGTAAAATTTGACTTCTCTAGAGTGTGGCTCTTTTGGAAACCGATTTTTTACCTTCTGTCCTTTGTGCCATTGTGGTTCTTGTAAATCAGGACTTGGTCCAGCTGTGTCCATATATACAGACAACTCAAGGGCTTCAAGTGTCTAATTTCATTTAATGCAATACCTAATATAAATAAAATCCGTATAGTGAAGCATAACTATTATCACCTAAGTAAGCACATTCTATCTATTTATATATAAATTTAAGTAAATAAGTGAAATATGGAAAGCTTATTAAGATCTATTGTCAGTGTTTCTCATACCCATGTGGGTTTTCTTTGTTAGCTTAGTTAAGGTCAAAGGTCATAGAGTTTGAATAGAAAGTAAGCTTTCACTTAACATTTCTCTAATAAACAAATTATAGGTTTTCAGTATTGTAATCTTTGTTCTCCTCCTTAAAACATTACCTCTTCTGCACAGTAATTGTTAGAGCCAACTCTCTGAACTAAGATGCAGGGAGCTGGTGTCTTTTAATTGGTTATTATATCAATTCAAGATTGTCTCGCCACCATCACATGCTTTACAGAAGATCCCAGCAGCATCTACAAGAAATGGAGTCTCAGAATCTGTACTTAGATGTCAGATCTTAGTATTCACATGCAACTACAGAACTGGCCCCCAAAACAAGGCAATTTATAGTCAGAATTTTCCAGTTATTTGGAGAAATAACTGCATAATATATCATGTGATATTGTGGTGATCTCACAATATGGTGGCCATATAACCTCACCCAAACCAAGACCACTTGAGCGAGAGGGAGAACTGTGGGGTCCATGCAAACACATAAGCAGTCTCTCTACAAATAACTTCTAAACTCCTCCAAAGATATTGCTTTCCTATGGTGAATAATTTACTTCATTTTCATGTTAAATTTAGAAACAGAAACAATGATCCAATTACCACTCTAATCCACCTAACAATCTAAATATTACCAAACAGATTCCCAAACCACTCTAATCCACCTAACAATCTAAATATTACCAAACAGATTCCCAAATCTCTGTTTTCTCATATCTTTTGCAAGACACCACAATAAACATTTGGCTTCCATAATCTCATTTTTACCTTTTAAAATAACTATTTTTAGAATTCTATGATTTGAAAACATTTTCATTGCCTTAAATTGCTCCCCAAAGTTACAAATAAAATTATGAAATAAAATCAGTGGATATTCTTGAATTTTAACCAATAAGAAAGGCAATTTGTAGTCATGCAATACTATTTCACATAATAACTTGAGTGACAGCATGTGTGTCCAAGCCTGTGTTTGTGGAAGGGTTGAGCCTGGGAGAAGAACCATTCCCTCAGTTTTTCTTTGAATATATTTCAAAGTCAACTGTAGTAAATTTTCTGCTCCATTGTTTATGTGGGGAATGGGCCCTAATTCATTTAATGCACTTTTTACATATAAGCAAGTAGTAGAAGGAGACTGAGCTTCCAACTGGAATAGAACTGAATTTGAATCCCAGGACAATTATTTATTTTTATAACTTTAAGCAAATTGTTAAAATACTTATTCTCATTTTTCTAGTTTGTAAAGTGGGGACTATAATACCTGTAGTAGGCACAGTGGGCACTAAAATAATTATGCTGGACTACCGGATATAAAAATAAAATACACTCTGCTACACGATACGTAATTTTGAGCAAATGATTCAGAAGACATTTCAGCATCTTATAATATTTTGTCAAGCATTGTTATGATCCTTCATTTTTAATATACTTTTAAGTCCCAGCTTAAAAATATGATTTTAGAAGAGAATGCTAGAAAGGTTCTTATTTCATTATTTAGTAACTTGGGAAATTTCTGTATTGTAAACAAATTAACAGAGAAACATTGGTTTCTTTAAAAATACAGGTCTTTTCTTCTTGTGATAGGTGAAACCTTGAATTAGAAATCATTAGAAACTTATTAGAATAATGTCTATAATCTTAGACAAATTAAATCTTTCCAGACCTTAGTTTCCTCCTATGTAAAGGATTTTCAACAGGTAATCTTTTAGGCCTTTTATATAGCAAACTTCATTATATTTATTACTTTTATTTTCAGGGAATAAGCAGATCAAAATAAAATTTCAAAACTATTATTTTCTAACTCTTCAAAACAACCATTTCTGCCACTTGGAGTAGCAACAGGGAAATAAACAGGAGGTGAAACAGCTGAGCCAAAAGTATTCACTTACGTTCTGTATTTTTTCTATAAAATCAGATTGAAAGGGATAGAAGTTAGGGAATCAACATGAACAGTAGTGAGCTGGCCTGATTTTTACAAAAAGAAGAAGAAGAAAAAAAAAATGAAAAAAAAGCACCATTAATCATAATGGCCCCGACTGCAACTTCTTGATAGAAGACTTATCTCGCACCTTCTTGGTCAAAAGAATTAAAGGTCGTGGGTCCAACCTTTTCCACATGTGCTGCATTCCACCTCTGTTAAAATCCTGCCTTTTGTGTCCAATTCAAAAATCTTCAGGAAATGACCCAGGGTGCATAAGGAAGATGGTCTTCTATTTTGCCCTCATTTCCTGCAGAAAATATTTAGATGTTTGTCTATAAAAGAAATATACATAACGTTCTGCTTTTAAAAAAAATAAGGCTAAACAACAACAACAAAACCCCATTCAATCATACACACATTGCAGTCAGTAGCTATGCTTTAGCCCACAAATCATAGTGAAAGCCGGCTTCTATCTATCTACATAACCCATAAAATTTCTTTTTAACTCAATATTGTTAGAAACATTCTATTCCAGATTTGAAAGGATTTCCCTATTATTTTCTACCCAAAAGATTAAGTATTAAATAATGACCCCAAAAATAGATACCGCCTTGTTTGTTAAGGAGACCTGTCTTACACTTTCCTAACATTATAGCCAGATTTCACGGTCACAGGAAAACAAAACACACATAATGGAGTGGTTATTAATTCAATAAATCCAGCAGCTCTCATGCTCTGGGCAAAAGGCAAAGTTAAAAGCAGCTGTTCATTGACGACATATGGGACATGGCCAGGGTGAGTAGCTGCTTTAGCACATCATCCACCACTTTTAAGGCTGACTGCACTCAATTTCTTAGACAATCTACACACCATTTTCAGTTCTGTACCTCCATAATTTATCACAACAATCCCTCAAGCACACAGATCGGAGGGGGAAAATGAAAGCAATTTACAGTATCGAGATGAAAGTAGCTTAGCTAGGTGGATGGAGAAGACCTACTATGTAAATCATATCCACGACTTCAAGGAATGTTGACATAATATTCTGGAATTAATTTTTTCCAGCATTCCTATGTAGGTCATACAAAGGTAAATCTAGTTTCTCCTCCCTACCTCTTATATCTGGAGTTGTTTATCAATATGTTAAAGAGGAAATTGATTTTACCTCTCCCTTCTACAGGGACAATAAGAACCTTATGTATAAAACTTACCAATAACAATGAAAGGAATCAGTTGAAACATTAGCATGCAATCTTTATATATGTCTCCCAGTTAAAGGTCATAGGAAGAGAGCAATGAATAAAAAAAAAAAAAAAAAGGTAGACGCACAGACAAATAGGGATAGCAATCTATTTGAAATAGTAGTCTGGATTATTGTAAAATAATCTCATTATGTCTCCCTTTAAAATATGTCCATAAAATCTGCCTCAGATTCATATCAGGAACTACACTGATGACAAACACCTTACTATAGAACAACTTAAGGCATGAAATTTGTATATTGTCTCATAGTGTGCACTTCTGGTAAGAGTCTGTTTTTACACTGTAATGAGAATAGTATGCTGATATCTTCATCAAAATCTAGGCAACTGATTGCTTCAATGCCGACCCCCCCCCCTTTCCCTTTTCTCCTCTATCTCTTTCTCTCTTAACCTTCTTGGGTTGATTGAAACAGGACAAGAAGGAACAGTTACAAGATGAGAAAAGATATTACAAGAAAGCCAGGGTCTCAGGACTGAAGGTAATAAGAAAAGACCAGGACATGTAAGAACATCCTAGGAATCTTTAAAAATACTCTAAAGGAATCTCAATTTCCTGAAGGCATGCAAGACAGGGGATTAAGTCCTTTAATTTAGATAGTAAAGGAAAAGTTGACCTTGGAATTGAAGAATTTGCCAACATATTCACTTACATTTCTTGTTCTATAAATAAAATAAATAATTCCCTGGTTGTTGTTGTTGTTGATTTTCATTGTAGACAATTTGAACAATTAAAAATGAAGACGCACACTTGATTCTAATAATTAGGAACAACCTTAATCTCTGACTATAGTTTGTCATCAGTTGTTTATTGTTTGAAATCCATACTCGTGATTCATCTTTTTATTGTAAAGGTGTAAGAAATCATTTATTTATTAATGGTGTAAAATCGTTGTATATCATACATTTTAAATATTTCTCCTTTTCTATTTGCTTTATCACTGTACCAAGTATTTAATGACCTCTTTTCTCCCCACAAAAGCCATCATGTGGTGTTCATTGTATACTTCTAGTAACAATGCTATTGCTAAGTATTTTATGGATTAGAAAATTGAGGCATATAAAAGTTAAATGCCCTGCCTGAGGCTTATACATAGCAGCAGAAAGCTTTTTTTAAAAAAAATTACTCTAATTAGTTATACATGACAGTAGAATGCATTTCAACATATCATACATCCATGGAGTATCACTTCTCATGGTAGAAAAGCTTTTTCAAACCAGATGTTCCTTTTTCAGAAGTAGAGCTCTGCCCACTAGGTATATCACAATGTTCATGTTTTTGCTCTATCAATTTTGTGAATTATTTATTTTCTTTCAGTTTACGCCTACAACAACCCTCCTTATGATCAGATAGAGTCATCTTCATTTTTCTTCTAGTACTTTTATTTCTTCCTTTACCTTATATTTCTTTGAGTACCTATATTTTATTTTAGCAAATGGCATAAGGCATCCCTATTTTTCTAACTGTGTAGCTAATCTCATTATCTAGAAAAATTTATCTACCTATATTTTCTTTGATGCTCAGAAATTCCAACTTATCAACCTTAGAGATGTGATGTGTTTTGGTTCCACTATTTTAATTGTATGATGAGATATAACAGAGCAAGTCACCCATTCCTCTATTTTAAAGATATTTTGCATATAATTTATCTGTTAATCTTTCCATATAAATTTCATATGGAGAAGACCTACTATCACAATATTTGCAATGAATTATGTTAAGTTTATAATTTGATTTAAAAGAAAATATCTGTTCCGATGACCAAATGTTGATTCATAACACAACATCTCAGTAATTACCTTTGTTTTTTATAGTTTAAATGTAAATTTTTAAATCTTAGAAGCTAAATCCTGTTTGTTATTCCACTTTATTTGTTTATTGCTCAAATAAAAGAATTTGTGAGTTTAGGAAGAATTGATATCTCACTTAATATGTCCCTCATTTTTTACAAAAATCACATTGTTTTTCATGCATTAATAACTATAAGCTTTAGTAAAGATTTATCTTTCCTTTTGAGTATAACAACAAGATGACTCTTGTTTAGAGTTACCTTCAGATTTTTCATATAAGTGAACTTTAAAATCACCCATTATTAGCTTAATGTGCAGCACACTCCTGTAATCCCAGTGGCTTGGGAGGCTGAGGCAGGAGGACCACTAGTTCAAAGCCAGCCTCAGGAATTTAGCGAGGTCCTAGGAGGTAACTTAGTGAGACTCTGTCTCTAAATAAAATATAAAACAGGGAAGAATAGAAGTCCACTGGATTAGACAAAGAGAAATGAAGGGAAGGGAGGAGGGTTGGGAGCAGAAAAGACAGTAGAATGAATCAGTCATAACTTTCCTATATTCTTATATGAATACAGGATCAGTGTAACTCCACATCATGTACAACCAGAAAAATAGGAGTCATACTCCATATATGTATGTCAAAATACATTCTACTATCACATATAACTAAAAAGAACAAATGAAAAATTACAAAAGAAAGGTTGGGTATGTGGCTCAGTGGCTAAGTGCTACTGGGTTCAACCCCAGGTATAAAAAGAAAAAAAAAAATCACTTGTTATTAAAAAGCCAATATGTTTCAGGTACTATGTTCATTTGGAGGCAGAAAGATGAATTATTTTTGTATCTAACATTGAATTCATCTAATATGAATTCATAATACATGCCAGAAGCTTTTCTAAGAGTTTTATTCATTTAATCCATTAAATACCTGATTAACTAAATACCTACTACTATTAGCCTCAGTGTACAGATGAGTGATTTCTTTACTTGTCTGTGCCCATTTGGCTAGTAAGTGCTGCACTAGGATTTAGCCCTGCCCTTTGATGCCAGTGCATGCCCCCAATATCTAAAGGTTCAGAATCCAGTGTAAAAGACTAAAGGGCAAAGCTACCATCTCAAGGATGTGATAAATGCCAGCTTATGACAGACTTAGGTGAAGACAGAGAGGATGCGTGTAACAACTCCAGAAAGGCAGGAATGACTCAATGGATGAAGGAGATATGATGTGAGTTTTAAAGGCTGAGTAGAAGATCACCAGGAGTAAAAGAGAAAAAAAAAAAAGTCTGTTTTAGACAGGGTATACAGCACGTGTGAAGGCTGAGGCTAAGGAAGACCACAACTCATTTGGGAATAGCTACAACTCAGAGCAGCAGGAGGCAGAATCAGAAACCTGGACAGAGTGCTTGCACAGGGACCACTTTGAGTCCTTTGATCTTGCTGAGATATGAGGAAATATAAACTCATATTCATTTTGTTCCCTGTTAAAAGTCCTCTATATGAACCATTGTTTAACTACTACATCAGATTGATTAAAGAAGCTAATTCACAAACCAGACCAAAACAATACTTTGTGGGCCACATAAACTCCTATTGTTTGGGAAGGATGTCCCAAGCAATCACCTAATTACTAACCAAAATAAATTGTCCATTACCAAATTGGATAAGAAGTCAAGGTTTCTCTGCTGCTGCAAGGAATTATGACCAACAAAAGGATTTTATTTAAATTACAATTGGTGAGGTGGCTTTTCTAGACAGGACGTGGGGTATTTAAAATTAATTTCATGCTATGGTTTAATTACTAATGAATTTGCTCTTTAGAAAGTCTGATGACAAAGATCACACCTATCTAATTTCAATGGGAGTATTAGTCATTGAATTAGTTAATTAAGAATATTACAAAATCAATTTTAATTTTATTATTAGTCTCAGTGAGCAAATGCTTTTTTAAAAAAAATTTTTTTTCATTAGCTCCTTACCCTATTACAAAATATTTTGAGGAAAGAATAAAGTGAATTTAAAAAAATAAATTGTTTAGGCTTCTATTCTGATGAATTTCATATAATTTTACAAACATTATTTCTCTGAGGGTAATTTCCATAATTATATCTGTGTTATCTATCTGGTTGACTTGTTGTGAGGATCAACTGAGATAGTGTTTAAATAATCTTTTGAAAACTAAATATTGTAAGTCCAAAATATTGCAATTATGATCAAAGATCAAGTATGGAGTTTTCTTTCATACTGGAGAATACATAAAAGT